ATCAGTGATACGAAATGAAGATAAGCATCAATTGCAAAGAATTCAATAAATGATATTTAGCAAAGGAGGATTTATTTATAGTTAGAAGAAGGAAAGATATTATCATTTTGAATTGATTGGAATGATAATTTGATAATCCTTTGAAGTGATAATTATTTATCATCTCGTTTAATTGAACACAATGATCTCTCTTGTAAATACTTTTTCATCAGATATTTCTCGATTTGATTTAAAAATTTTAAAAATTTGTCTTCTAAAAAAGTTCCAACCCTCTGATTTAATTCAAAAAATTTTCAAACAAACTCAATTTTCATTTCTTGCTATCAATGAAATTATTATTATTAACATTATTGTTCATTTTTTTTTTCTTTTTTAAAAAATCTCAAATAGTAATGTCAATTTTTTCATAAACTATACAATTTCAATTTATCAAAATTCAAAATAACAAAGAATTGGTTAGAATGATGAAAAAATTTTATAGTATTATGTTAATTTGATAGAAATATTTATTAATTTATTATAACAAATATTCACAAATTGAAATTTATAAATATTTGTTAGTGAAAATATTTATCAATTTGTCGATAGTAAATAAAATAAAAAAAAAACTTTTATTAAAGGATGAAAGTAAAAAGATCTAACGACTAGATGCTATTACTACATGAAATGACCACCTGTAGCTCCCTTTACCTTCACTTCACCTGTCATCAAATCATTTCTCTCCTCACAACAACAAAGGTCATCCAGAACAAAGCGCAACATTGAGATAGCGCTGTGTAAATAAATAACGCTTTCCTTTCATCACTTGTTATCATCACAATCACAATTCTTTCTCTCATTATCATTTCAATTTACTACCACCTGTTGCTTTATGATTACTCATTGTTATTGTCACTTATTATTATTAATATCATTATTATTAATTACTGTTACTATTATTACTATTATTATTATCATTATTAATTACTGTTACTGTTATTACTATTATTATTATCATTATTAATTACTGTTACTGTTATTACTATTATTATTATCATTATTAATTACTGTTACTATTATTATTATCATTATTAATTACTGTTACTGTTATTACTATTATTATTATCATTATTAATTACTGTTACTATTATTATTATCATTATTAATTACTGTTACTGTTATTACTATTATTATTATCATTATTAATTACTGTTACTATTATTATTATCATTATTAATTACTGTTACTGTTATTACTATTATTATTATCATTATTAATTACTGTTACTATTATTATTATCATTATTAATTACTGTTACTGTTATTACTATTATTATTATCATTATTAATTACTGTTACTATTATTATTATCATTATTAATTACTGTTACTGTTATTACTATTATTATTATCATTATTAATTACTGTTACTATTATTATTATCATTATTAATTACTGTTACTGTTATTACTATTATTATTATCATTATTAATTACTGTTACTATTATTACTATTATTATTATCATTATTAATTACTGTTATTGTTATTACTATTATTATTATCATTATTAATTACTGTTATTGTTATTACTATTATTATTATCATTATTAGTTACTGTTACTATTATTACTATTATTATTATCATTATTAATTACTGTTACTGTTATTACTATCATTATTATCATCATCATTTTATATCATTCGTTATCATTCTCCATCTTTTTCTCAAAAAAATATTATTTATAAAAGTAACAAATTTCATCAATTTACAATAAGAAATATTTAGAGAGCGAAAACATTCAAAAAAAAAAAAAAGATCCAGTTAAAAAAAAGTTTAAACTGGACGACAGACAAATGAAGATTAAATAAATCCAGAAGAGATAAGGAATCATATAATAAATGATATTTAGAAATTGGCATTTACATCTTCTAATCTCTTTCATCCTTTTCTTTCGCCGAAATTTCTGTCTTCAAAAATTTGTTATTTTAATTTTCATATAGTAATGCTATGTTTTGTTTATTCTTCACACATACACACACAAAAAACAAACAAACAAACAAATAAATAAATAAATAAACACAAATATTCTAATAATTTGCATTTCAAACATAAATGAGTTTTGATAAAAAAGTAAAAATAAAAAGTGAGTAAAAAATTCAAAGAAATAATAATTTTACTAAGAATTTTCAATTTTTGAATTAATTAATTGAAATTAATTAATAATATGGTCAAAAAAGGAAGAAAAGAAAAATCGAATGAGAGAAATAAAGAATTTATAACAATTTTGTAAGTATATTTGATGAAATTTTCTAAACGTATAAAGAATGAATGAAAGAGAAAATGTAGACTAGCTGAATTAGCTTAGCTAACAAATCATTTCGTTCCATCCTAAAATTTCAATTTGTAAGTTAAATTAAATTAAACTAACTTCATTTATAGCATCAAAATTGATTGCACTTTTTCAATTCTACCAATGTTTAAAGTTTTTTTTTTTTTTTTTCTTTCGCTTTCCTATTCGAAAAAAGTTTAAATTTGTTACGCTTAATAGCTCTGCTTACTTTGACTTTTCTAGTTTAAAAGAAAAAAAAAATCAATCGTATGACTTTTTGAAAGTTAAATTAAATTAAAATTATCTAATCTATTCATTTCTTTCCTCTTCCCACAATACAATTATTTTTATTTTAGTATAACTAATTAAATTAAATAACTGCTATTATTACTATTATGTTAAATACTAACTTTAATGATATGATAAAAAATATAAATGAAAAAAAAAAAGCAATCATATAAAAAGAAAAAAAGAACAATAAAATATTTCAAATAATTTGAAAATTCTTAAATATAACAAAACGATTATAGTTTATGATGCATTTTATTTTATTTTTCAACTTATTTTACATCGTTTTTTTTTTTTTTTTTAAATTATTTTGCACTAATTTTTTATTTCTGTTAAATTTTCTTTTTTACGACTAATTTGTTAAATTTTAATTAATAAGAAATACATATATTTTAGCGAATAAAATAAAATGAATAAATGCTATACAAATTATTTTAAAATTATTTGCAAAAAAAAAGAAGAAATAAGCATACATTTCCTTTTGTTCTTTCTTTTAATTTTCCTATACTCACAACATTTTTTTTTTTTTTTTTGTTATATTCAAAATTGGAAAATTAAAAATTTTTTTTTTTTTAAAAATTATTGATACTAATCTCTCTTCAAAAAAGAAAACAAAAAAAAAAAAATTTAAATAAATTAATGATCAAAGCACTGTTTTAGGAAAAAAGAAAAAGCGTAAAGAATGGCAATAATTTTATGTTTCTTTTAACAAAATGAAATGATAGAAAACTAAATTAGTCATTTTGTTTAAACTTAAATTCTTATTCAATCAAAAGCTAAAAAAGAAAAAAAAAATGTGAATTTGATGAAAAGGCAAAAGTTAAAAAAAAAAAAAGATTCCTATGTTAAAGCTTATTTATGCAAAAGATTTTTTGTTTTTTTTTTCTTTTGTAATAATAATTATAATTGTTTACAATTCAATTAGTTTCACATTTTCATATAAATAATAATTATGTTTACTCAAATGAAAATATCATTGTTTATTGAGATAGTTGAAAGAAAAAAAACAATAAATTAATCATGCATAAGTGAGAATAATTTTAAAATTGTTTATAATTAGCTAATAGGCACAGCTGTTATTTACTGATAAGCATAAATTGATTTATAAAAACATTATGTTATGATTAGAATTAGTAAACAAAATGTTAATTATATTGAAAACACTTCCAAATATATATCTCATATTTTTATCAAATTTGAAATATGCTTATCATTCTTTTTGTATTTCATTTCAATGACCTCAAATGACCTTTACAATCATTAAAATGATTTTCTTTTTTTTTTTTTTTTGAAATGATTATTGTTTTTTGAACACAACAAAAAATTTCTCGGAAAAGTCATCGCATCGTCATTAAATCATTAAACAACAAATAAATCTGATAAATAAAAAGAAAGACAGAAAAAAAAAATAGCTTTAGCTAATTATTATAATAAGATATCTGGTGATATTAATTATTATTAATTAAAATTTTTCTATTTAGGAAAGAAATCTAAAGAAGAATCAATCCAGAAAGTAAGATTTCAAATTTTGAATAAATTAGGTGAAATTTTTTTTTCCCTTTTTTAGAGTATAAAAAGTATTATCGATGATTGATGATTGAAAAAAGAAAAGAGTAACAGCAAAAAATGGAATATTTGATGAAGAAATAATATTTAACTGATAATAACATACCTTGTTAATTTATCAAATTTATACTTCTGCCAAGGTATATTATAGTTGCATAAATAGCAAAGCGTTTTTATAAAAAAGAAATTGAAATATATTAAATATTTAAAAATGATATTTAATACGAAGAATGGAAATTTAATAGTTTTTCAATAATAGTTCCTTTACTCTCTCATAAGCTTCCCCTTCTGCATTAATTAATTAATTAATGTCTATTTAATTTATAAATTGTAAAACATAGTAAATACTAGGAGATATTAAAATGCTATTAAAAAATAAAAGAGGGAGAGAGAGAGAGGGAGAGAGGGAGAGAGAAAGGGAGAAAGAGAAAGTAATATTGCAGTGATTAGAAATCTTTCTCGATTGCATTCAATGGCACAAAGTAGTACAAATGTTCAGGCAGCTAAAATTGTCCAAAAATCGATGCCAATGACATTTCTATTTTGATAAATTATAAAGTTCGAAAATTTTGAAATTCCTTTTGGGAATGGAAATTTGGAGACTTTTAAGCTATCTTAAATCTATCCTTTCATACCAATAAACACAATAAATGCTTCTTGTCAAGAAACAATCCTCTCCTATTTGATTTCATCAGCTACAATCTCCCTCTCTCTCTCTCTCTCTCTCTCTCTCTCTCAGAGGGACAATGATTAGTAAACAGATAAGTAAAGAAATATTTGAAATAAACATCTTTTTAAAAGAATGATAATAAGTAATAACTCTAATAAATATACTTACCATATTTTGTGAATATTTCCATTGATTTTGATTGCGGAAGATGATTTTTAATAAGATAATTTGTATTTTCTGTTCTTGTCGTAGGCAACAAATTTGCATTCACTGAAAATAAAACAAAATTTTGTATAAAAATTAAAAATGAAAAATAAAATTAACCTAAAATAAACAAACTAATAGTAATTGTAGGAATGATAATTAATGATAATGATAACAATGATATCTAGCATTTGTTATATTTTAATATTTGATAAATGCATCAATAACATAATTTCATTTTATAATTGTAAGTGCCGAAAGTAGAAGTATTTTTATAGATATATTATGGTAGAAAAAAAATTTTAAATTTAAAATGTGATAAAAAATTTTAAAAGATAATAAATGAATGAATTATTTTAATATTTGTCTAAAAAAGAAATTGTTGAATTGAATGGAATAATTTAATGATAATGATATGATAAGATTTTTTTTTTTTTTTGGGAAAGATTTGTAGCAATCGTATGTGATTTGTAAATGTATTTTATTGAAGTGATATATTGCGCCAAATATTTTTGCGCTTTTTTTTTTCTTTTTTTTTATATAAGTATCATGCAGTGATATGTATGAAAGAGATAAAGTTATCAGAATATCGCCATCTAATACTATCAAATTATCTATCATTAAAAAAAAAAAAAAATGAAAAAAAGAAAGCAAATTATTTCTATATCAAATTTTTGATCAAAAATTTTGAATTATCAATCTTAGAAAGACTGAAATTGAAATGATTTTAATGAGAAAGCACAATTTTATGAGTAATAATTTAATATATTAACAAAGAAATCTTCCATTTCTCATTAAAATTTAATATTCATTCAATAATAAAATAAAAAGTTGAAATTTTGAAAATAGAAAAAATCCGAAAAAGTTGTTTATATTTAATGATAGAAACTGATAACATCTAAATTACCAAATTTAATTTCTAATTTCAATAAGCTTTATGTATCATCTGCACCTGTACTGTAAGTTATACAGTAATACCCAAGCATACTGTAAATTAATAAGGTTTATAGATTTACTAAATTAATTAATTTAATAAATTATAAGGTTAATATATGCATAATTAGAAGTTTAGGTAAAAATTTGAAATGTTTTAAAACAATGTCAGTAATGAGTACAAGAATATAGTAGGTTATACTTAATACTCAAAAATATACTGTAAGTTAATAAAGTATATTTAATATAACATAAAAAGTAAAATATATTTCGTAAGTAAACTATGAATCATTTCATCAATTTTTTATGCTTATTTAAAATTAAAATTTGAATAGCATTTAATAGAATAGAGAAAAAAATTTAGAAGAAGAAAGAAATTAAGAAAGTAGGAAATTAATTTAGACAAAGAACGTTCATAATAATCACAAATGATTACTGTTATCATTAAAATATCATTTATTCTAATTTGAAATCAAGAAATTGAAATAAGAAATGCTAAAAGAATAACAAATGCTATTGAATGTAATATATAAGCAAAAATCTAAAGAAAAATTGAGGAAAATATAAAAATGACATTTCTACAATTTATACTGTTCTGTGATAATTTTAATTCGTTCCGTTTATTATTTCGATTTTAAATTTTTGCTTGAAGCTAAGCCACTTGTTCATTAATAAAATTAGGCAAATTAGAAAATTTAAATTATGTTTTCATTTAATAGAATAGCAAGAATGAATGCATTTGACAGTTAATTAATCTAATCAATTTATTCAGAATTTTTTTTTTTTTTTTTTGGATTAATTTATAAAACTATTATCAATCAATCGATCAGTTAATCGAATTAATTACGGAAATAAAAAATTCGTTCAATAATTAGATAAAATAGTTTATTAATTCTAAATCAATCTACTTATTCTTTATCATTACTTTACAGTGCAAATTACATTAATGTTATCAATATAATTAATTGGACAAAAGTTTAAGAAGCAAATCTAATTAATCTAATAAAAAATAATTGATTACAATTATGTCTAAAAAATAATTAATCGTAATTAATAACTAAGCTAACTTTATGTAACTAAACAAATTACTTTTCATTTCATAAATGAAATTACTTTTCAGTTTGATAAAATTTTTAAAAAAAATTCCATAAAAAAAATTTTTTTTTTTCTTGAATTTAATTTCAAAGAAAATTTTCGACATTCTTTAATAAATCATACAATATTTTTCTTTTCTTTTTTTTTTTTTACTTTTTATTATTGATAATTATGATAAGACAGAGAGCGCACATAATTAGTTTGACCAACTCCGCTTTATTTCTAATAGTGAAATGAATCATTCCATAATAATAATTTTTTATCATTTCTTTTTTTTTTTAAAAAAAATTGTTATTATTAAATTTTTGAAAAATAAGGAGAGAGAGAGAGAGAGAGAGAGAAAAGAACTAATATGAAAGAGAAAAAATAAAAAGAAATTATATCATCATGTTAAGTATACTTAACAATTTGTGCGCAAAAGTATATAACAAATGATAGGACATTTTCGCATTATTTTCAACCCATTAATCTATCAGAACGAAAAATAATTGTTATCCTTGAAAATTATTATTACCTTTTCGCTTTTTTTTTTTTTTTTTTGCCTTTTTTCTTTCTTTTTTTTTTAGCGAATAAAAAATGATTTTTTTTTTTTTTTTTGAAATTGCATATTTATTGCAATGATTCATACTTCTGCCAAATTCTTCGTTCTTTTTTTTTTTTTGGTTATTGGTTATTGCGAATTTTTATGTTAGTTAGTTAAAATTGAGGGAAAGAAAATGGAAGAAAAACTTTTCTGAAAGATGAAATTGAAATTTTTTTTTTTTTTGTTAATATTTTATAATTTAAATTTTAATATTTTTTGAATATCAACTAGCTACAAATTTAATTTACCACTTTCTCTACTGACATTTTTTTTTTTTTTTTAGAAAGCTTCTTCTAAACATTAATAATATGAAAACTTTTCAAAATTGCTAGGAAGAAATGAAAAATTTTTTCAAGAAATATTTAATCTTTTTTCAGAAAGTACTATTATCATCAAAGTTGAGAAAAGAAGAAATTTGCAAATTGATAATATCTTCTAATAATTAAAAAAATTTTGTCGTAAGATTAGATCTTTAAAAAAAAAAAAGAAAAAAAGGAAAAATAATAATTAACAATATAAAAGAGAATATCATTTTACAAAAATTATTTCATTTTGAATAATCTTAATTTATCATTCATAAATTTTCTTTCGCTCTCTCTCTCTCTCTCTCTCTCCCTCTCTTCAAGAAATTTGTGTAAATTTTTTAAAGAAATGAAAAATTCTTGAATAAAAAGAAAAAAACTAAAACTTAACAAACCATGCAAAAGTGTTGAGCTTTGATTAGTAGAAGAAAATTGTTTTTTGATTGAAAAATTTGTTGATGCACATTTTACGCCATCACTGCGATCAGTTGCGCTTGCAGTAGGATTAATTTTAAAAGAATTGCCGCTTAACACTGATATGTTATCAATCATTGATTTATTCATTAAATTTGTTAGCTTTGTTGAAGTTGAATTTTTGCTTTTATTATCACTCTGATATTGTCGTCGCATATTTGAAGCAGTATCAGATGATGAAATTTTTGGAATATTTAAAAATAATTTTTTAACATTTTGCTCTTTCCGTTCCAATGAATTATTACATCGAATACCATTCCGGAAATTATTTTCTGGCAAAAACTGAAAAGAACAAGGAAAAGAATTTGTAAAATAATCAATAATATATTTTTATTTTTTAATAAACATATAATTTGGTAAGTAATGTTTAAATTCTGTAAAAAAAAGAAAAGTGTTTATTAAAATTTAAAAAAAAAAAAACAGAAAAAAAATTTTTTTAACTTTACATTTGAACAAAATAAATAGAACTAAGTGACATAAATCATAATTTAGCTGTTCAGTAAACAAAAAATAAAATCCAAAAAAAAAAAAAAAAATGTCACTTCAAAAGTGACACATCGCTCATTGAGTTACTTACATAGTATGATGAATGCTTTGAAATATTAGAACAATTTTTGAATTCATTGCTGAATGAAGAAGTATGTTTGGATGATAGTACTTCATTTGATCTTATCATTGTATTGGTGTGATATGGAGTTAAATGAGTGATATTATCAGCATTCTGCCATTTAAGTGATTCCATTGAAGAGTTTACATCTGATTGTAAATCACAGGTGGAAATGGATCGTATTTCTAAAAGAGACATTTGTTAGTATGAAAATATGATAAGTTAGACTGATTTTTTGAATTTTTCATCAAAAATTATTGTGTAATAAAAATTTTACACAAATTTTTCACATGGAGAAAAGAGTTTTTTTTCGAAAATTTTAAAAAATTACATACTAATACTTATCAAAATTTTTACTCAATTATGAATAATAGTGATAAAATTCATAAATGTAAATAATATAATTGTTTAAGCTAAATTTCTATAATGTAATAATTTCTATAACAATAAGCTATATATTGCTATAACAATAAAGTAATAAATTTATTGTTTATCAATCATTGATGATTTATTCTGTTTTTAACAAATTATTTCTTTTGTGACAAAATAACAAATGGTTTTGTAGGCATAATCTTTAATAATTAACAATTAAACATTAACAAATTGATAATTAATATAAATAATAATTAAAAAATAAATGAATATAAGAGATAAAGAAAAGATTTATAAAATTTAAGTTTTTAAAAAAAGAAAAAAAAAATTTGAAAAGAAAAGATTTATAAAATTTTAAAATGATATCAAATACCTTTACAACGATCAGAATTATTAGCTGAAACAGCAGCTAAAAATGATGCTTGTCGTTTGACATTTCGTTTAAAAAATTTTTGTGGATAAGAAAAAGTATTGATCATATCTGAAAAAAAAAAAAAAAATCCATCAAGTTGTTTGGAAGTAAAAAATAGAACAGAAATTATTTATGTTTGAAGAAAACAATAGCAGTTAAATTTGTAAAATTATTTTTTTCTTTTAAATTTTCTAAACAAAAGAAAAAAATTTTTTTTTTTTTTGCTTACTGGTATTTTTGCTTTGATCAGGATAATATTTAAATTGTTCATTATGCTCGATATCGTAAACATTTCTCATATTTTCCTAAAATTGATAAAATTATAATTAAAAAAAAATTAATTCAAACTTTTGAAGAAAAAATGAAAATTCCATTTTGAAATATTAAATTAATTTTTCTCATAAATCCATGAAATTCATTTTCAATTATAGCTAATTTTTTTTTTTTTTCACTACTTTTTTAGTAAATAAGCATATTTCTATGCTTTTCTTCACTATATGCTATTACAATAAACTTAAATAATACTTAACAAAGTAATACTTAGAATTATCTTTTAATTATTTTATTTCATATTAGAAATAGTTTTGGAAAAAATTCTTCCATTCATCAAATTTATACAAAATGCCTTTTCATCCTTACTTTGAGGCAAAAAAAAAAAAAAAATTTGCTCCATTTAAAAATTTAAAAACTATTTCCAATTTATGAGCAATTTGTGAGTAGAAAAATGAGCTTAAAAAAGGTAAGGAATAATCAAATCATAAATCATTTGCAACAGAGATGAAATTTTGGTTTTAAATTTTCATCTTTTTTCCAAAAGAAAAAAGTGAATTTCAAAGAAGCGTCTTTTTCCCTCGTTAAATTCGTCATTATTAACTGTAAATTTTCATCTCAATCTATGAAATATTTTAAATGTTATTAAAAAATTGCTACTCCTCTCCCTCTCCCCTCCCTCTTAAATAAAAAAAAAGAAAAGATTAAAATAATAATTTGTCATGTAAGATGAAATTATTTCAATTGTCAACTATGTGTCATTGTTCATAAAAATGAAATTGTAAAATTTTTTATAATAAATTTGGAAATATTTAAAATATTCAAAAAAAAAAATTATTTTATAATATGAAGTAGTAGTAGTAGTAGTAGCATTTGAATAATATTGTAAAAGCAAACTATTTGCTTATCGTTTTTACCGTTAATTGTTATTTCCTAGTTTTCATTTATTATTATTATTATTATTATTATTATTATTATTATTATTATTATTGTTATTATTATTATTAATAGTATATTATTGTTATTATTACTATCAGTGTTAAAAGCATCATTATCATTACTACTACTATCAGTATTATTAGTATTAAAAGTATCATTGTTAAAGGTACCATCAGTACTAGTACTACTATCAATAGTTATATGAAAGCAATATGATATTTCATTGAAATTTGTGTGAAAAAACTTTTTTTTAATTATATCAATTTTGAGTTAAAATAATCATTGCTTATACAAATAATTAGTTAGCTATATAACTATGAAAAATTAATTTGAATTAAATAATTTCCACTATTCTATTATTTATTTATTTATTTCGTTTTTTTTTGTTACATTCAGCAGCAATCTTACCATATTTTTTTTAAATGGAATTCGTCTTTCTATCGCACTGTACATTTCTGCAATTAACTTTTTAGAATTTTGATGATTTGCATTCTCTTCATGTGATGATGATGATGATGATGATGATGATAATGATGATACTGCTAATGTTGATGATGTTATTGATGACGATGTTGCTGTTGCTGTTGTTGTTGTTGTTGTTGTTATCGATGATATTGTTGATGATGATGATGATGATGGTGATGATGGTGACACAGATGATTGTAGTGAAATTTGAAATGCACTCCGTGTCTGTGATAATGGTTTAGGCAGATGTTCATAATGAATAATCGCTTTTGGTGCTACGATTATTTTAGATTTTATTTCATTGTGCTCATTTGGAACAAAAATTTCTGATTTTGAATGCCTAAAAAAAAAGATTAGTAAAATTTTAATATATTGTAGCAATTTCTTCTTAAAAATTAATTTTTCATTTAAATTATATAGAAGAAATAAAAACAAAGAAGAAGGAAAAAATAACAAATATTGAAATAGTGTAAAAATAAAAATGATGGAAAAATTAGAAATGATAAGTTGTTGTTATAATAATTAAAATAAAATAAAAAAACAATTATTTCAATAATAAATTTATATGTTTAATCTTTTTCTTTTTTTCTCTTAAAAAAAAAAAAATAAATTAGTTATCAAATTAATTACCTCATATCATTTCCATGTATTGAATGATTTTCATGGTGTAATTTATTTTTTGAAAAAACATCTCCAAAATGGTAATTGTTTTCACTCAACCACTGAAAATTTCTTTTTAATCCTAATTACAAGAAAAAACAAAATTTACAAAAATTGATATCAATAATTAAAAATGGTAAAAATGATATTAATTAAAGAACTATATTTTATTTTATAGCAATATTTAATTTAAAATTAAATAAATTAATCAGTATGAATCGAACTTATGGAAATTCAAATAAGCAAAAGGATAAGAAAATTATGATAGAGGAAAAAAGTGATAACTTCATGGAAATTTTAATCTAACATTTTTATGATTCAATTTAATTTTTTGATAGTAATTTTTTATTGAAATCGATACAAACGTGAAATCTCCCCTCCTCAAAAAAAAAAAAAAAAACACTGCGATGATTAAAATCAAGTTTACATCCAAATGATTTATTATCAAATCAAATTGTTAACTGACAATGATGATAAAGATTTGTCAACATTAATATAACATTACATTTGATTGCTAGATTTAAAAATTCAATAAAACTTTGTGAAATTTTTTAGTAATTGGATAATTTATTTAAAAAAATCATTGAAAATGAACTAACTCATAAGATAAGAGTTAAAGGATGTAAAATTTGGATAAAAATCACGGATGACGTGGAAAGTGACTGAGAATGAGGGATGACAATCACGGATGACGTGGAAAGTGAGTGAGAATGAGGGATGACAATCACGAATGACGTGGAAAGTGAGTGAGAATGAGGGATGACAATCACGGATGACGTGGAAAGTGCGTAAGAATGAGGGATGACAATCACGAATGACGTGGAAAGTGACTGAGAATGAGGGATGACAATCACGAATGACGTGGAAAGTGCGTGAGAATGAGGGATGACAATCACGGATGACGTGGAAAGTGCGTGAGAATGAGGGATGACAATCACGGATGACGTGGAAAGTGACTGAGAATGAGGGATGACAATCACGGATGACGTGGAAAGTGAGTGAGAATGAGGGATGACAATCACGGATGACGTGGAAAGTGCGTGAGAATGAGGGATGACAATCACGGATGACGTGGAAAGTGAGTGAGAATGAGGGATGACAATCACGGATGACGTGGAAAGTGAGTGAGAATGAGGGATGACAATCACGGATGACGTGGAAAGTGCGTGAGAATGAGGGATGACAATCACGAATGACGTGGAAAGTGAGTGAGAATGAGGGATGACAATCACGAATAACGTGGAAAGTGAGTGAGAATGAGGGATGACAATCACGAATAACGTGGAAAGTGGAAAGTGAGTGAGAATGAGGGATGACAATCACGGATGACGTGGAAAGTGAGTGAGAATGAGGGATGACAATCACGGATGACGTGGAAAGTGAGTGAGAATGAGGGATGACAATCACGGATGACGTGGAAAGTGCGTGAGAATGAGGGATGACAATCACGGATGACGTGGAAAGTGAGTGAGAATGAGGGATGACAATCACGGATGACGTGGAAAGTGAGTGAGAATGAGGGATGACAATCACGGATGACGTGGAAAGTGCGTGAGAATGAGGGATGACAATCACGGATGACGTGGAAAATAAAGGGTATAATATTTGCGCTAAAAATAGAAACTGCAAAATCCATTAAAGATCATTTACAGATTGATAAGGAAATAAAGTAGGAAAAAGATTTCCTATCAAATTTTTATTGTTCATTGTATCAATGCACAAACATCGTTAATTTATATAAATTTAAAAGGACATATCGTAGTGGCTCAATCTGGAATTTATAATAGATTGAATTTGATTGAAATTTTTAAATGCAAATAAAAATCAAAAATCCAGTTTTTCCATTTCGGTATCATATTGATGATCCATGAAACTTCCTGGTGACAATTGATGACAATTTTTGTAACAATTGCCAATTTATCAAAGTTTCTAATAGTGGAAAAGCATAAACAAATATTCAAATATTAGCTGATAAATTAGAATAAAAATGAGAAAAATTATTTGTATTTCTCTTTTGAAATGATTTTGCACAGATGGTGTGTGATTTGATTGAAATTCAAATGGAAATCGTTTATTTAACATATCAGAATTTGATTCTTAAGATTGCGGAAAAAAAAATAAAATTTAAAATTTAAAAGGATAAAAATTAGCTCAGCAAAACTGTAATGAAATAAAGAGAGGGAGAGAGAGAGAGAGAGGGAGGGAAAAAAAAAGGGAACATTTCTGCATGCGATATTTCAGTAAATATACCGAATGAATTTACAAACTACTAATTGAATTCGGATGACAGTGCATCAAACTAGTTTCTATTCAAAGTATTAGCAATGTGTTGTGCAGGTGTGCGATCAAATAAATTTTACAGAGAATAAACGATAAATGAGGAAAAGTAAAAATAAACAACAATTTTTGTTGATCATTCGAATTTGGTATTAACTTTTTCATTTCATCGAATACGTATAAAAAGGAATTTTAAAAAAAAAGCGATTGAAATAGTCATTTGCTTAATATTGGATCGCTATTATCGGTAATTGAATTTAACATTTTAATATTGAAGTATTGATAGGAATAAGTTAAATGTTAGTTAATAGTAATAAGTTAAATGAAGTTATTAAATTTATCATTCCACAATCATTTCATCGCTTAATCTAATTATGGGCAAAAAAAATCTAAGATGATCCCTCCCATTTCAATTTTAATTTTAATTACATATTACTTATAATTCAATTTCGATAGTAATGAAAATAACTTTTGATATTAGTAGGATTAAAGAGGAAAGAGTAAACATGATAAAAAGTAAATCAATAAATTTGAGTATATCAACAATTTATTTTGTTCGATTATCAAATTATTATTATACGTATTATTATTAGTTATTAATTATTACTGTTATTCAATATTTTATTCTTATTGTTATTGTTATAGGACAAATAATAAATTTACTACTCTTTAGCTACAACAAATTTATAAAACTTTCAAATTTTGGTAGCATTTAATTTCATTGTCATAAATAGTGCGGAAAGATTCAATTCGAATGATAAGCAATTCAAATTAGATAATGAAGAATGATAGTGTCAAATTAAAATGAAAATTTTTAAATAGATATTTAAAACAAAAAAAAAAACAGGAATAATGATAATTAATCATTATGATATATTATTATTAGTTTTCTTACCAAAAAATTACTTTTAAAATTTGATATCAATGAATTAAATGATATGAAAATGGAAGAAAATTATATTTTAAGATTATCCAGAAAAGTATGAACAATTTGAATTGAGAAAAAAAAATGAAACAAATAAGATTAATTATTAAAGAGTATTAATGATTCCATCAATTTTTATAAATCAATTTATCTACCGGATTTACTGTTGTCCTTGTTGTTGTTGCTGTTGTTGTTGTTGTTGTTGTTGTTGTTGTTGTTGTTGTTGTTGTTGTTGTTGTTTGTGCTGCATATTGATGACTTTTCAGGGTTATCTCCGAATGACCTTCCACAATTATCGATGATGGAAAGCGTTGAAAATTGATTGTAGTATCGTCGATAGCAGTGGTAACAGATGCGGTTGACATTAATGGCTCATCGGAGAGTGATTTAATTTTTGTTAACTTTGAATGCATTCTCGTTGAAACCATTACTTCTAGCTCCAATCCACTATAATGATAAGTGATAAATGATTGAATAATATTATCAATCAGAATAGATCAGATTTATTATGAATTTATAACTATATTTGTAGTATAAACAAACAATCGCACAATTATACCTAAGCAATTATTATTTTTTTTGCTAATTTTTGTTTGTATATTTACAGATACCATTGCAAAGATATTTTTTATTTTGTTTTGTTTTTTTTAAAGAAAAAAAGATTAGAATAAGAAAATTTAAATTAGCTATAAAGGTGAAAAAAAAAAAATGATAAGAGATATAAGCATTAATTAAGCTCTCTCTACTGGTAAATATTTCTGTAAACAGAAAAATAGCAATCTTATCAAGAAATTTTTTTATTGTTCAAATGCTGAAGCAATTAATTCAGATAATACTTATTCACCAGTTCACCGCCTCATCCGTAATCTTTCATTTCCGGAAATTCTTTCATTCAGTATTTTTTCTCTCTCTCACATCAGTTGATGGGAAAACGAAGGACAAAAGGCAATTTTGCTTTCTTTTCTACCCAAAAACAATTAGCATAATATTCAGTTTTCCTTTTCCTTTTCTTTTTTCTTTTTTTTTTTTTTTAGTTTTGTATCTTTCGTACCATATGCAAAGATTATAATTATCACAAAAAAAATGATAACATTTACTTAACATATAAGTAAAATTTGCTGAATTAATAAGATTAAATGTATCCATTAAAGACCTATTAAATGTCTTATTTGTTTAATAAATAAAATTAAATTTATAAATATATTAGAAAGATTAATATAAGTATTGGAAAAATAAATTTAACTTAATATAAGTATTGGAAAAGTAAATTTAACTTAATATAAGTATTGGAAAAGTAAATTTAACTTAATATAAGTATTGGAAAAGTAAATTTAACTTAAAAATACACCTTGAATCCCTAAGAAAATTATAGGTTTAAGCAAAAATTAGTAATTTATTTATTGAAATAAATAATTTTAGCAAAATACCAATCATTTGGAATTATTCATCAGAAAAAAAGAAAAGAAAAAGAAAGTTGATGATGTGATAAGATGATGATAAGATAAGATATAAAAATAGTTGAAATCAATAATTTAAGCTTCTATTTAATAGAATGTTTGTTTTATTTTTGATAAATAAATATCATTAAACATTAGAAACTGATAAAAATAAATTTTATCAGTTATTTATTGAATGAAATAATATAAATAGCATAGTGAATATATTCCATGTAATTCGCTTAAACAATTCAATTATATCTTATCATCTTATCACATTCAATCAATCAATGATGCAAGAATTTAGCGAGAAAATTAATGATTATAAATAATCATTGCTTTATTTCATTCCCTTAAATATAAATTAATACTGCACGATGACATTATCAATTCATTTTCATTTAAATCGAACAAACTAATAATTTTCCGAAATATTAATTAATAATGTCGTATGTCATACACATCTAGAGATCTATTTAAACATTCTTTTAATTAATTCATTTATTATTCCAATTTAATATTTCAATTTCAAATTTATATGCGACGAATTGGATTGTCCCATTCATCACTATACGCATATATTTAGCTAATTCATTGCTTATTTAGGATTTCTCATATATTTCAAATTTTTTGTTGAATTAGCTTCTTCGAAACTTTAACTTTAACTTTCAAATCTTTTAAAAGTTTAAAAAAAAAAAAAAAAAAACTATTATCATTTCAAATAAATAACACTGTAAAAATTTTCTATATTCTAGAAAAGAAATGAAAAGAAAACGAGCAGAAATCTTTTCATAAACTCTCAAATGTTTTTTAATTTTAATTTTTTTTTCTTTGTCTTTTAACATAACTGATAAATGATAGCAAATTAGAACTTTATCCATCACTGAGGAACAAATTTGCTTATTAAGTAAATTTAAATAAAATTAATGTAGATAGAGATGAAAATTGAACAATGCAAAATTTATAAAGTTATCAGATATATTATGATAAAATCGACAAATCATTATCAATGATATGAACAACTGATAATGCTTTGTCGATTGATAATGAAACAAATTGATAATGATTGCTAATTATCATCAGTTGATGGCTACAATTCGCGATGCTTAGAATTATTTCATTGCCCTTTCGGTTTTAGCAATTTCATTCTAATTAATTCATAAATATTTTCATGATAGATAGTTATGGTCAACGATGGACTTAATGAGTGGACATGTAGAAATGTGATAGAAGAATTTTGAATTAATGAATTCCTTTAAATACTTCAAATATGACTGATTTGATTTGAAAAGCTAATTTTCATTTGAAAATTTATTTTGTGAGAATTCATGCGATGAATTTAATAATTATTTAACCAAAAATGAAAAAGAAAAACCTATTTTTTTTTCCTTTTTTTTTGATCCAACTAATTTTGCATAGAAAAAATTCATCAAATAATAAATAATAAATTTGATAAACTCTTATAGCTTATCAAATTCTATAACTATTCAATTTTGCCTTTTAATATAATTGATAATTGATAGCTTCACTTTAATAAGTATTACTAATTTGACAGAATTGTAAGAAAAAGTTTGAATAGAATATTTTAATATTTCAGACATCTAAGTAAATTCATCGTAATAAATAAATGAGTTTCAGTATTTCAGTCTAACCGCAAGAAGGGTCATTAATTTAGCCAAAGGTCAAAGGTTAATTTAGCCAGAGGTCAAGGAAAAAGACAAATGTCACGAGATGACAGTGAATGCAAAGAGTAAAGTCATTTAAAAGTTAATCATCGATAAGTAATAATAATTCATTCAAATAAACAAATAATCCATCGTTCATTAACATACTTCGTTATCAGTAAATAACCGTTAAAATTTTATCAAACTGATCAGTAAACATAACTTAAAACTCTATAGGTGAATGTTATCAATGAATTTATCATTTCAAATGGTCTGTATTATTGATTGCAAAGAAAGAAAATAACCAAACGATGATAACACAATCAGTAATTATCATTAAATTTATAAAATTTTAAACGGAAACATTTATAGGATAAAATTATTGGGAAAAATGGATTGAAATTTCTGAATAATAAAATAAATACACAAATAGAATTTTATGAATTGATAGAAGAAAGAAATAGAGAGAAAAGGAGAGAGAGGGAGAGAGAGAGAGGGGAAGAGAAAGAGAATAAAATTTTATTTTTTCTGTTATCTGTTGATGATAATATATGCAATGGTTATGAGGAAAGCAAAAAGAAAAAATATGACTACCTTAATGTGACACTGAACAGAAATGAAGCAATTGCTATGACAATTGTCAAAGAACATTTGGTGACATATATATAAGTATTAGAAGAGATGTGACCTGGTACTGTGTAATAAGAAAGAAGGGAGAGGGAGAGAAAGAAAGAGAGAGAGAGAGAGAGAAAGGAAGAGATTAGATTGAAGAAAAAAAAAAGATGAAAGTTAAAGTTACTTGCATAAAACATAGCTAAATAATCACTGAAGAGAGAGAGAGAGAGAGAAAGAAAAAAATTAAAGAAAAACTGAAAGAATGAGAGGTATATGAGATTATTGAATATTTAATTGAGGGGCAGATGAATGATGGATACACAGAGAAATCATTCTCGATAATATCTCTGTGATAAACCAATTGACAACATTTTTGCGACAGATAAACGATGTAATAATACAATGTGTTTCTGTCCATCTCTCTGTTTATCCCTCTTTCTATGTTTATTTATTTTACTGTTTATATTTATTTAAGGATTTCAAATTTCAGTTGTTTATAAAAATGAGCTATTTAAGTTATTGATCCAAATTTAATCAATCATTGATTATTTATCAAATTTACCCAATCATTGATTATTTATCAAATTTATCTGCTTTTTTTTTACTAATTATTAATAATCCATTTATCAACCAAACAAATTTTGGGAATTTGCGAATTTATTTAAATTTTAAATTGATTGTTTATAGATGGAAAATGCTATTGTATTACCTATATGCAAATGATATTACTATTATTTATTAAATTGTAAAACAAATTTTTTTCTGTTCCGCTCGAGAAGATCGATCATAGAATAGAATAAGCTCAAATAAATTATGATTAATTTTGAAAATTATAATTCATTAATAATTCATTGTTAATATAATTATGATTAATTTATTAACAATTATATAGCTAATATAATCGTAGGAATGTATAATTAACTTTTTGTAAAATATTTGCAGTTTATCGATTTATCAAAGAGTGTTGATAAATGATTTGATTAATTGAAGAAAGCATATGGAAAAGCAAATAAATATTTTTTGCTTTTCTTATTGATGAATGATTCAACTAATTTTATTTTAATTAAAAATTATTTACCAATAAAAAACTAATGTGTATTGCAAATTTTTCATAAATTTCAATATTTTGTCATGAAAAGTTATTTTAACAAAGTTTTTGTTTATCAAAATTTTTTCGATTGTTGCAAATTAACAAAATTATCAACTAGATGATATCATTTTTTCTTGATTTAATAATTATAATAATTTCTTAGTGAAAAAAAAAAAAAAAAAAACGCAATATTGGTGGGAATGTATTGGTTAACTTCTAGAAATTAACAAAAAAATTTTCTCAGATCAAATCATAATTCTAAATTTTCTCTTCATTCATTTGTTGATTATATTTAATTTAGATAAACATTTCATTATTGAAATGAACTTTGACCCTATTTGAGATGTAATCTATTTTTTAAAAGAATATTTCAATAAATGTACACTTTCGAATAACCTTTCTGTAATTCTACAAATATCGCTGTAAGTTAAATGGTTGACATTTTGTCCATTCATTTTGATAATTTGATGACCAGCTTGAAGACCTGCTTTATCTGCTGCACTTGATGGTTTAACTTTTAGAATTACTAAGGTATAGAATGGCTTCTGTTTACATTTCATTCCTTCATTTGAACTATCCTGAAATACTTTATTAAATTCTTTCATTTCAAATATATAATTTGCTAGCTTTTTTTGTAAATTGTTGAATTAAATTGAAAAAATTTATAGCAAAAAATTCAAATGATAGAGTTAAAAATTTAATCTTTAACAAATTAAAATTGTGAATACTTTTCATATAGCATAGAAAAGATGCGTATTAAAAAGTAAACACTATGTGTCATCGAATTTAATAATCAAAAACACTGAATTATTTCATTTTGATTTGTAATAATGATAACATCATATTAGGATTAAGTTATAAGTAGAGAAATTTCAAACAATTAATAAAGCAAACCTGTTCATTTGAATCATTTATTTTGCATAATTTAAGTAGCATTATGATAGAATTATCGTATTAATTTGATAGTATTTGATAAATATGATTAATTAAATTATCTGCTTAATTTTTTAATACCAAATATGAAGGTTAAAAGTTCGGTGTTTGTTAATTTACAATTTATCCTCAAATTCACTGATTAATTTATAATAATGGTATATTTTGAAAAGATAAGATGAAATGATTTCAATGATTAAAAAGTGGTACCATAAGCGGATAAGATGAAAGATGTCGTATGATAAAGCCATATGGTACATTGATGGATGATCTTTTTAGTAGCAGTTTATTTTCAGTCATTACATCTATTTCTTACCATTAAAACATTTATATTTCTCACATTAAAATGTGACGTAGCAGTTGAATAAGTAAAAATATTCTGAAATTAAAATTTAAAAACCATTTCAAATGCATAGTTATAGAAAAAAAAAAAAGTAAATAAAGCATTTATTAATTAGCTTCTTGATAGGTTTATTATTTAAAGGCAAATGAAGCCATAATAAAGTTCAAATTTTAGAGTTTAAATTTTAAAAATTTACAATGATTGCATTATATATTTTTGACGGATGAGAATGAATAAGTGTATCATCGATTTAAATAAACTAGTTTTTAAAGTGGAAAAATTTGAAAAAAAAAAAAAGAGCAGCAAATTTATGTCAAATGAATCTGTTAGCTTTTCAACAGTAAAATGATCGTAATAAGAAATGCAAAAAAAAAACCAACAAATTAGCATTAGATTTAATAGATTTAAAATTTCCAGTTTCTATTTTCAATTTAATTTACTCTATAATCTATTTTATTCAGTAATTTTGAATTTTTGATGAAATTTTATTTCCTGTATAACATTTCAATAATGCAATTGCTCCATTTTTCAGCAAATAATTGATGGTCACAATAAATCACTAAGTTCAAAGATAAAGTTTGTTTTTTTTTTTTTATTTTTTGATAAATTAACTATCATTGGAAATTAACTATCACTATTTTTGAAATTTTTATATAATTGAAGATGAATCGATATTATCACTGTTAATAATATTATCGATTATTATATTTATAGTTTACTGATAAATCAACAAATAATATTTAGGTAAACAATAAGAGAGGAAAAACAGATTAAAATAAATAAAAAAGAGAAGAATTCTTGATAGCTTATATTATTTCTTGTAATGTTATTATCATGGAGGAAGAAGAGAAAGGATAAAAAGTTTGAATAAATAAATGCTGGGAAAATTACAATTAGCTTTTATGATTTCGAATGATTGTATTTTTGTTCAGCAATTTGTCCATTAAATTAAATATCAATGGAAAAAGCTTTATTTAAAAAAAAAAAAAAAATGAAACTAAAAAAGATTTTGTTTAAAAAAAAAAAAGAAAAAAGGAATAATAGTATCAAAATTAATCTAAAATAAAATATTTCAAGTAAATTTGAAAATAAGCTATTTATTGAGAGTAAAATAGAGTAATTGAGCATATAAGTTTAACCATATAAATTTGATAAGTAATAATTGAAAAGTAAAAGCCAAACGAATCTTTAGTCTCCTCAAGAATGAAGGAATAACTTCTTATCAGTTAATTGATAACGTGAAGATCACGTCTAATTAGCATACTTTTACCGCCTACAATTAATCACATCATTATCTCAGAATGTATAATGTACACTTGATAAACCCATTTTGATGAAAATTCTCAGATGTTAAGAATGAGTGATAATTAAATCAAATAATTTGCAAAAAAAAAATAAATCGAGTAATTTGTTTTGAAAAAAAAATGAGATAATTTAATATCATAAAAACATTAAAAAGTAACAATGACCCTAAAGTGTATCTATTCAAAGGTCAAAAGTCAACTGATTTTATGCTTTAGCCAAGCAAATCGTATGCATAATATAATTTCAACTATTGACTTTATCAAGTTAAAAAAAAAAAAAATTGATTTCATTGAGAAAATTAATAATTTAAATTTAATCTCAGAGAAGAAAAAAAAAATTGTTATTGCGTTGAATTTTCAATAATTATTAACTATAAAATGGAGTAAAATGTAATGAATCTTAGTTGCATTACTCTTCACAAATTAGTTATAGAAAAGAATAAGTTGAATTGATAGAAATAATAAAAAAAATTTTTAAAAATAATTACAAATCATTGCTCATTATAGTTTATGAAATATGTGAAATATTGTTGATTTAAACAGATGTAAATTTTAATCATAAATCATTCAATTCAAATCAAAAATATTCAAATTCTTTTCCTTCTTCTCTCTTTTTTTTTTTTCTGCCCAATCTTTTTTACCATATTTTAGAATAATTGCATATATCCAATATATCTATTCATAAATAATATCAAAATTTCTACAATAATTTAATTAGAAGAAAGAGAAAAAAACCCCATAATACATTCATTTATGCAAAAAAAAAAAAATTAATATTTACTTAATTTTTACTTTGAGCATAAAGTTTTTATATTTATTCATTTCAAAAAATGTTACATTTATTTATTTTGAATATTGAAATTAAATTTCCTTCATAGATAGCATCAAAAATACAATAAATAAACAGAAGGAATATTATAATTTATATATAATTTACTATTATTAATTTATGCAAGAATAATGTGAACAGACACTGTGATTTGACAGCAAATGCCAAAAGCTTAGCAAAATGGGATAAAATAGAAGATTGTAAGGTTGAGGAAAGTAGTTAAATTAAATAAATGGATGAGAGGGAGGGAGAGAGAGAGAGAGAGAGAGAGAGCCAAAAAAGGGAGCAATGATGAGTAGAGGGGTCAATAATGTCATTTATTAAACATACACAATACAGGAAAGAAGCATTGACAGTGTAATAATTGGGTTAGTGATTTAGAGAAATGAAATTAGAATTAATTCATTTCAACAATAAGATTACTTTTTCTTCTTCTTCTTCTTCTTCCTCTAATGATAAGAGTTAATATCATTTGAAATAAGCGATGAATTAATTAATTAATTAATTAATTAATCGATCAAATAAGAATTGAAATAATTTAAATATTGACATTGATTCTCTATATTGTACTTTTGTGTATTATATTTTAATTTATGTAAAAAAAGATTTTTGTTAATAATTCTCAACAGATCTAGTATATTTAATAGAAAAGAAAAAACTAAAAAAGAATGAAAATAAGTGATATTGAAAGTGCTAAAAGTATTGTAATACTTTTAATATTTGCAAATGATTCATTATTACACAATGCCATAACATATTAAATTATCAGAATAGAACATAATAGGCTATTAATTATTATTAACAGCTTTGGATTGCTATGATAAAAAGACATTAGCGCTAGAGATGATAAGGCAATATTAGTAATGGAACATGAAAATGGAACATCTATTAGTCGAAGTTATTTTGCCCTAATTTATTATTTACATTTCGCTAAATGATCAATCAATGCGTCTTGCTTTGCTCACATGATTGCATATAAGATCCGGTTATCCTGAATGAAGGGACTAAATATGGAAGCTTTATGATGCATCAGATTTTTTTTTTTTTTTTTTTTGATACATCTTTCTGATATCAGTCATCAGCAAATATACCTGATTAATAAATAATGATTAATCAATAAATTTTTTAAAACTTAAAATTCGTTCGCATAGGAATTCAAAGTGGCATATTATACAGATTTCACTTCATAATACTGCTATGTATATTATGACATATATCAGTATGCGAAAAATTTTCTAATTGGAGTGTTATAACTACTTTTTCAAGGTTCAAGAATTCTAAGGAATTGAATTCAGTCACAAAATGTCAAAAAAAATTGTTAATCACGTGAAACATTTATGAAATAATAAGTTGAGACACATGGAAGTTCATTAAATTATACATCATTCCTTGGATAGAAAAATTTAAATTCCAAAGAACTTGGTAATATTTTTCACGGAAAATTGCTGAGACATGAGGTAAGAACACTGCAAGGAAAGCTTTGAAGTAAGAAGTAACAAGAATTTTACAAATACAGCATAAAATCACCATTATAAGAAAAGATTTTGAGCTTAATCATGATTTATCTTTCGACTGGTGTTTTTGCGACTTATAGTTTTTTTTCGGTGGTCTATTCCATCTATTTAACCCTGATTCCAGTAAAAGTTTTGGTTTTTCTTGTCGTGACTCTAAATTGTTTGGAATCGTCTCATTATCGGAGGTAAATCCCGTTGTTTCAACAGATGAATTCTGACAGCTGAAACAATAGAATTATGGAAGAAACTGTAAAGATTCGAATCTATTAAAAAACTGTTAAGTGTTTTTTAAAAATCGATGGTGATAAAGTAAACTGATTTATATCACTCTCAGCCAGAAATAAATTTTCTTCCGCGCAACAGAAACATAAGAAGCCTACAAAAACATGTAAATGGTTATTTAAAATGTTTAATAATAGTTTAGGAAATCCCAAAATAAAACCTCTTATTGATGTAGTTATCCGGAAAAGGATCCTTGGAAATTAAAATATAAATCGTAGGGACGTCTACATGGACCAATATTCTGAAACATTGATAGCAAAGTCTTTAATAGCTAATGTTTTTTGATATTAGCAAAAATGAAGATAAAAAGCTTCTTTTATCGCTTAATTTTCCCAAGCTATTGCTTGATGGTTGAGAAGCCGAAAAGGACATTAATTCGAATAGAAAATAATAATACTCTGCGAAGCATACTTGCTTAAATTTTCAACCGTCGGTAACCAGGAATCAGTTCGTCGAGTGAACACTATTTCATTCCATTGATACAGCACTCCATTCTGAAATTATCATCTACTTATAAGAATAAGTCATAATGCTTAAAAAAAGGAAGACATTGAAAATTTGATACATTTTGGTGCTATAAATAAATAAATTAAAAATTAAAGTTAGAGACGATTTTTGGTAATGAACTTTTTGGTAAAATAACTGACCTTTTGGTAATGAAATAATGACAGAATAAATTTAAGCAAGAAATGAATAAAAAAAATCAAGGATTGCATTTTTGAAAATAAAATTTGAGAAAGTGCTAGAACCACGTATGTTTGAACTGACCTTATAATTTCTTTTGAATACTTCCACACATGAAATACATTTTGCTGTAGCTTCACCAACACCTTTGAAAATTACCATCCGACAATTTGTATCCTAAAATAATTTGTGAAATACAATATGAAATTAGGGGGAAAAAACCATATGAAAAAAACAATGATGCAGATCTTTAAAACTTCCTTTTTTTCTAAAAGTGCTAAAAATATTTTGTTTATGCGAAATAAAATGGTATAAGTTGAAGAATTAAATTAGTAAAACAAAAC